AACCGGCGTCGCGTTACAGTCGTTTCGCGCAATTGCGGCGCGCGTAGACTGCACCAGCGACGAACGTAAGATGATTACCTTAATAACAATAATAAGAAAATGATATATCCGCGCCATGGCGCAAAGGAACTTCGCGAGCAAAGTCACGAGTTCGTCGACGCGTCTTCTCGCTGTCAACTGCGACTTGAGGAGAAACGACCTCCGAGAGGCTTTCAATTTCTCTCGATCGAAAGGGCGAGACAAGTTTGCCGCGTCAAGTTTGTGTTTCGACGAGTCGAAAACGGCTCTACGCTTCGAGCTACAGCAGCGTAACGCGGATCATTTTCCGCCGGGCTCTCGCCGCATTCGGCATCATTGCCGCGCACAATGGATGTTGAAACAGGAAATGTCAAAGCTGTCGTATTAATGACGCAGGGGCATTTCGCCGGTCGATAATACGAGCCGCAATGTGACGTTAAACCACGCATTATGGCGACGTGGCGTGACGAACCGTCCGGTGGATGCGGCACGCGTGTTTCCAAGTATCCGTTTTCACGACCTATTTAACGACGTATTTAATTATAACTATTCGTTCGGCGGTCACATCGTGACGTTCGGCAGTCCATTAGTGGCGCTTGGTGCGGTCAAGAACGTAATTGTTCACGGAGGAAATAAGATTGGGGGGGGGGGCGAGCGACATCAGCTCGCCCGCTTCTGTGCAGAAATCCGCTTTGTCGTGTGTGTGTGTGTGTGTGTGTGTGTATGTGCGTACACGTACGTAAAAAAGTGTGATTTAATAATAATTATCAAAATTTTTAAGTAATTATTAAGATTTCTATATTCCCAATGTTTTTTTCTTTCCATTCGCTCTACCGACCTCAGCGTGGCTACTCACGTGGCTTCTACGTGAGCGTAATCTGCATATATGTACCGTGCGTTTGCACTCTCTCGTGATCTCGCGTGGCGTTAGTAGAAAGTAGAAATTATGTTTCTTGAGGGAAACCATATTAGAAAACTCTCTTTTCTATTACAGGAAATATATTTTCACTGGCAAGAGATCGTCGGAGGTGATCGCGATTCAAGCGCGGCCTATTAATTTAGCGTGAATGAAACCCGTACTTTTCTCTATGTCAATCGATACAAATCTCTTCTCGTTTTTGTAATATCGTTTGTTATATGCATTATTTACACGCATTTTTATGCGCGCACCTTTCGCGTATATTAAATTTGTAATTTAATAAATGATACCGAGCCTGGGAATTCGTGCACGTGGGTGTAAAATAAATTTATCGCGTATCCAACAGAATGAATTTTTCATTAGAGTTTGCAGAGCCAAACGATTCCTTTGTCTCGCGACAATCTATGTCGTGATTTTTCAGGCAGCCCTGGCGTACGCATCAGTCGAGAGTGTCGCTTTAGGTTATGTAGAGCATTCGAGAAATTTCCGCGGCTCGTAGCTGCTGTCGAAAGCCTTTCCTTTGAGCCGCGACTGCTGTCAAGTGCTGAACGAAGCGATAAGAATGAAAGTGCAGCATTAAGGTGGAAAAGTGCCGTATCACGATTAAAATTCATCGACTATTAAGACGCGAATAAACACAAAAGTCCCAGAGCCTATGAATATAATTATACATTCTTCGATAGATTTATGATCGACATCGTTTTCAGGAAAAAGGAACCGAAATTCCTTTTTCCTCAAAACTTGCCCGAAGGCAAGTTAATCGCTCGTTTCGCAGTTTCTTAATAATCCACATTTTAAATATCATTGTTAGCGTAAATTAAAGTTTTAAAAATATAAAATCGATACTTAAATTAAGCACGGAGGATATTAAAATTGCGAAACTTTACGTTCCGACTGAATAATTCGCAAACATAATATTAATTTAAAAACATGTAGGTCGAAACATGAAATATATAGAGAAATATGGAAATAGAAATAAAAATATAAATTATAAAACATCGGGACTGTACAGTATGAGACAAAGAAGAATATTAAAACCGCGAAATATTTTACATTTTATCTAAATAATATTAATAATTATTAAAATTAACTTGTCAAAAAGAAGTTTTGAAATCGCGAAATATTGGGTGAGTGTAAAAGTTCGTGCGGAGTTTGTGAGTAAAAGTCACACAGTGATTAGGCAAACAAAAATCTTTATTCAATCAATGATATATTCTCCATCGTTTTCTATAATCTTTTCCCAACGTTCTGGCAGCATACGGATGCCTCGATCATAAAAACTGCGCGGTTTAGATTCGAAGAACGAAGAGACGCCGTTTTTTAAGGCCTCCAAAGAGTCAAAGTTTTTTCCATTTAAATAATTTTGCAATGACCGAAACAAGTGATAGTCAGATGGTGCGATATCAGGAGAATACGGTGGATGCGTTAAGACATCCCATTTCAGGCTCTTCAGTTTGCGCAGCGTCTTTTTCGAAACGTGTGGTCTAGTGTTGTCGTGATGAAAGACGACTCCCTTGCGATTTGACAAAATCGGACGTTTCTCTTTTATTTCTCGATTCAGATTGGTTAATTGGCGACAGTACTTGTCCGAATCAATCGTTTCGCCAGCGGGGAGAAGCTCGAAATAGATTATGCCCTTGCAATCCCACCAAACAGAGAGCATCACCTTCATCGGATGCAAACTGGCCTTTGGCATTGCGTCACCATGCTCACCTGATTGTTTCCATGTCCGTTTGCGCTGAACATTGTTGTAGAGGACCCATTTCTCATCGCCCGTCACTAGTCGATCCAAAAACGACTCGTTATTGAGCCACCCGAGTAAAGAAACGGCTGCAGAAATTCGCTTGATTTTGTTCTTCTCGGTCAGCAAATGGGGCACCCATATATCGAGCTTCAAATCGAATCCCATCTTTTTTAAACGCCGAAAAGCAGTTGATCGGTCAACGTTTAGTGCTGTAGCAACTTCTTCTGTTGAAATTCGCGGATTATTGAGCACTAAAGTACGCAAAACATCGTCATCAATGTCAGAAGGTCGACCAGAGCGTGGCTCGTCTTCAAGGTTAAATTCTCCGCGCCGAAATTTAGCAAACCATTTTTCCACAGTTCGTTTAGCTGGTGCTTCATCCTGATAAACATCCTGAATGTTTTTTACGGCTGCGGCAACGTTTATTCCCTTCCGAAACTCGTAAAGCATAACATGCCGTAAATGCACCTTATCGATACTCATTTTTAAAGTGATATTTCTCGAAGCAGTTTGTATGAAAACAAATGACTTTTTTTTTAATAACAGCTGAAGACGTCACCTTTCCAACGTTATATAATATGTAGATGGAAGTATTAATGACAACCCTTTACGACGCTTATAACTCCATCTATTGAAACTCCGCACGAACTTTTGCACTCACCCAATATAATAATCACACAGGCAAATGTAAAATCGTTGTCCGAATCGAGAATGAGAAAAGTAAAAGTCGGGAAATTGCATCACTTTAAGGTCGAATAATCCGTGAGTAGAGGCGAGCTTATCCCTTGGAATCTGTTCGCGAATGTTTTTCGAAGGAAAGCTTCCGAGCTCATTGACGATCGATATTAGACACGAGTTTGCTACCGATGCCCGTTTGTTTGGTTGAGCGGAGCAATTGGGGGCAAGTGAATCGCTAATTAGGTCACTTTGTGCATAAGTAAGCCCTGAGGCTTTGACGGGCAGATTAATTAATTGTTGGCCGTTTCGGGTCCAGCTCCGGGCGAGCTGCAGTTTTTTCGTCCGACGCGACGCGACGCGACGCGACGCGACGCGACGGCTCAGAGTTCCACTCCAAGGGCGAAACTGTAATTGCGCCCTGTCGCGCAACGGCTCAGCCATTGAATCACCGCTCTTAATTTGTCTTACACAAGGCGCGTTAAGCTTCGCCGTTCAACGACCGGCCCTATTAGCATAGGAATGGATCGAAGTTGGTCGACTCGCGATTTCTCTTAACATAGGGCTATACGATAGCCAAGTTTTAACGAGGCAACATTATTATGACGCGCGGCGCGGTGGCGGCACAGTAGTCCCTGGAATATTATTAACACGCTGAAACTTGCGTCGGAGAGCGCTCTCGCGTAAATTTATACGAAGATTACGAACGTGAATGCATATTTGATGAGGATTCCGCGGTGTTAAAGTTTACACGTATCTGACGGAAATGCAGTTCACTTAATGCACAAGCTATCCGATGCGAATTAAATCGGATGTGTCTCGGATGTGCACGTCGGCTACGTAACACGTCCAAGTAACACGAAGATTCTCGTGTGAAATGCGTTTATGATAATATCTCGAGTTTGCGTCGGCTAATTGAAATCGCGCTCGCTCCGTGCCTGGCGATAACGCGTTAAATTTCATCTGACGTTCCACGTCAACAACTGGCTAACTGATTGAACACGAGATCGCAGGTGTACGAATTTCTTTGCGAGAAGCGCCGTGTATCATTACTCTGGACGATTTTATAGGTTTGCGTATATGTACACATACACTCCGTATTAGTCAGTCTCTTTGCGACATCATTAAATTTTCCGATATTCCGTGTGAGAAAACTTACGGCGACGGCGACGGCGACGGCGACGGCGACGCGCAAGACGGCAACGCGACTTTCGTAATTAGAAACGATCGCCGATTACTCCCACTACCACCACTACCACCACCACCACTAGCATTCTTCAGGTATCATGTGCGCCTTTTCAGGGTACAGCATCATCGAGTGCGCGCGATGCTTCTCTACATCAACTACTTTACTATCGAACCCGGTAGCGGTCTAACGGAGAAACGAAAAACAAGTTTGTGTGTGTGTGTCTTTTGCAGGTCGGCCAAACCCTTGCCATGCGATGTCGCTGCAGAGCCCCAGACTTCGACATTACAGGTCGAAACAACAAATCAGATATGCGCCTTTTAAAAAGAGTTTTCATTATGTGCTGTATATGAGAAAAGTCATGCGGCTCTCTCGCTCTAGTAATTGTATAAATACATATACTATGTACATATATATGTATATATTACATACATATATATCTCGAGTTTCTTTATGCATCCACGCTTTTGGAATGACGTTCATCGGCGCTCGCGAAACACGTTGCGGTAACATTTCTAGACTCGGTGGCTGACGTCGACTTTGTTGCGTGCGAGCTCGACGATCTCGAGCTTTGCGTACGCTAGGATGAGGATCTTGCTCGGTTCGCACGATGCTCCCCCGTGATTCACCCGTTATTCATATTGGATTTTATGCTAACTCGGAATGAAGAATCAAAATCCGCAAAATGTAGTCGTCGCGTGGATCGCGCGGAGCGCGACGTGTGTGCGTGCGACTTCGCTTTCAACGACGCGGCTGCACTTTTACGCATTCGCAGTCGAGAGTCGACGACTGTTCCTCCCCTTTTATTCAAAAGTGCATCGTCGCGCGGGAACATCGATGCGCGCAAATTTCACATCGCGATCATAATCCGTGGTCGCTCGGTAGAATCCGATTTCGATGAAGTCTCTCGCGAGTCATCCGCGCAATCTTACGACGCAAAACTTATTCCCAGCGTATCTCCCGGTGAAAGTCGACATGGCCGAGCTCGCAACGACCGCCAGCCTCGCTTGTAACTACATCTGCGTTATTGTGTCTATTGTACATTTGTCCGAGTGTTGTTCTACTTAGCTAAGTTTGTATTATCTTGGATATATCTCGTTGAGTTCTTTCGATCGCGCCCACGGAGGTGGGTCGTAGACGAAGCGTGGTTTCGTGGCGACGAAGGTTCAGGAAGAGGCTCGCACCTGTACATAGCAGTATCCCGCGCGCCTCCTCCGGCTGCTTTCGGCCAGCCGAATTTCTCGGATAGCACGAGCGTTTTCAGACGCTCCCGTCGCGTCGTCGCGTCGTCGCGATCTCGCCCCGAGACGCTCTTTACGTTCGCGAAAGGCGGCGGCGGTGGCGGCGAAGAAACCACGACTTCGACGTGAAAATTGTCGTCACTTTTGAGCGCTCTGTTGGCATGGCCTGGTTTCACGTAACTTTATCGTTGAGAGATGCACCTTCTTCTTCCGTTGAGAGTTCTTCTCCGTTCCGCTCGTGAGTGGCGAAGTCATTTCGTCCCTGCGCTCTAGTCCAGCCGGCTCAAGCCGCGACCGTGCGCCTCCTTTTTCCAGGACCATGACAGCGATCTGCTTCGTGTGCAACCTGCCGATCCTGAGTCATCAGGTCGGGCTGATATGGCAAGGCGGCAACGGCTGGGACGACCTCGTGCGCGAGCAAGTGGAGGAGTCTACTTTGAAGCAACGACTGGGTATGCACGGACACGCATTCGAGCCGTAACCAGTATTTTTCGCGCGCGCGCGAGCATATTATGGAAATCCGGTGCTTTTCTCGCACAAAAGTGCCCGGAGTTTATCCCCGCTCCGATATTCGCCGCAGCGATGTTAAAGCCCGAGCTTAATAGACAATCCGAATGTATGTACATTTTCTTCCGCGCCGCGTTCTAAATCACACGCGGATTCGAGGGAGAAGATAATACGAAGCGTGCGCGCACAAATGGAATATTACACGTCTACGACTATTAATCATCGGGAATAAAATCGAGAAATTCACTTTCGACGACTACGCCCAGAGAATGTACATTTCGGTGTTCCTTTTTCCTCTCACTCGTCGTTACGAAGTTGTCAAGAAGAATCTGATCGAAAAGAAACGTAGTTTGTACGAGTAAAAGCGGTACCTTTCCTGTAACGAGTAACGAGATACCCAAGAATCAGGTAGAGACTCGCGTTCTTAACGAACGACTCGCCGAGATGACGACGAGAAGAGCAACGAGATCCCTCGAGATCCGCAAGAGAAAGAAAAGAGAGAAAGCAGAGGTAAAGAGAAACGCGTATTCCTCCAGGGACAGGCAGACGGGACTCTGCGGCGCAGATCACGTCGATCTCGCCGCCGGATGACACCCAGGAGTCCTCACCGACGAATCAACGCCGTCGACGATCCAGCCTCGCTCAGCTGACTGACATCCTGCGCGAGTGGAGCGGCGGCGGTGCCTCCGGGAAGAGCGGACGTGGTAACAAGCTCTGTCGCAGGGAGACCTTGGCGGACATCGCAAAGTCGCTGCCATGGTCCCGGCAAACCACCACGGACGCCAGCCACCTGGTGAGCATGCGGAAGAGACGGGAGAGCTCGGTCGACAGCGGCATCAGGAGCCAGGTGTCGGCCAAGTCCAGGCGGGACTCCGCCATCAGCGACTTCAAGAATGACCTCGCCAGGCTGTGGAGCAAGAAGGACGCGCCGCAGACGCAGCCACCTCCCACGGTCATCTCGCCCACGCCGCGACGAGGTAAAACCTCTTTTCTTTTCCGGGGCGAAAGAGCGGCGGCGGAACTCTTTTCTTCGTTTTCCAGCGGCCGGTTCTAAAAATAGCCGACCGCCGACCGATTGCCTCGGGCTTGCCTCGAGGTTGATTCCGCGAAAATGTCGTTTCGCGAGTCGCGATGTCGGCGGCGGGAGAGCCGGCGGGGCTGATACATTTTGCATGCGGAATGTAAGCTCGCCGGCTTTCGCGGCGGATAAAACGGCGCGCGACGTTCCGCCGCTGATTACGTGCCGGCTTAACGTCTCTCGAACGCGGCAACGAGTCGGGGCAACAGGCAGGGCCTGGAAGTTATCCTGGAAATGACGACGAGGTGTGCCGCGCGCGCGCGCGCGACCTCACGTGAAATCTTGGGAATCGTTGACATGCCGCATGTAATTTTTTTCACACATTCCGCGCGATTCTGAGATTCTTCAGAGTGCCAGGGAATACATTGTGCATTCTTCGGAGCATCTCGCGGTAGAGACTGCGTTTCTTACGTAATGCGAGAGTGGATGCGCAATGGAAATGCACCTGTTGTATATTTGTCGAATTATACGATCGTATATATCGTGTTAATTAGCATGTCGGTTGCAGGCTCAGGCGAATCGAGAAACTCCCGTCGCGGCTCAGGCGAGAGCCTGAGATCCAGGAGGGACTCGATGATCACGGCACAGTCCACGAGTAGCGAGCGTAAACATAACTGTCGTCACCATAGACGCAGGCAGTCTCAACAGTCGGTCGACGGGGGTGGCATGACGCCTACAAAATATTACAGGAACGACCAAAGACCGAGCGCCTCCAGCACAGACAGCGCGGCCAGTAACGCGGTCAGGTCAGTACGGGTGATGGGAGTGCGCACAGAACAACTCGGTGTTTTGCTGGAGGTAACGGTGTTACCTCGCTTTCTTCATCTCTGCGTACGCATTTGTACGCTGCTCTGCGAGAACAAGTGTTGCTAATTGTTTCAAAGGTTAACACGAGGGTTTATTAAGAAGCTAACAATTAAGTACTATGGTCAAAATCGGTGAATCGTAAGACTTCCCAAGCAACCGATAAAAGATCGCACTCATCGCGATATTTTCTACTACTGAGCGATACGTTGTTCAGAGCGAGAGAGGTTCGTATGTCGTGAATTCTACATTAATAAGATGGAATATATTCGCCTCGTTCATTAAGTCGCTTTCGTTGCAGGGAACACCTGGAAGCTCAGAGGAATTCCATGGACAGGTCGAGCAGTACCGAGACGAAGACCCAATCGCCGGGTCTCCTCATGACCAACGCGAAGACGACGGTGGCGACGTCGACGTCCTTGATGGTCGACAGCAAGACGCCGGTCGTCGCCACGATGACCGAATCGAGGACGTCGATGGTAACGGTAAACACCTCAGTGGCGATGCCCACCCTGTCGACCTTGTCTGTGGACACGAAGGCCATGGCCGATAGCAAATATGCCAATCTGGACGCATCTGTGAACCCGCCGACTATCGTCATGTCCTCGGTGACACCACCGGCGATCTCACCGACGGTCGGAAGCAACCTCCCGCTTCCCGGCACCTCGACTTCCGGCAGCTCCAGCCCGGTCGGCTCTCCGAACGTCAACAATACACCTACGCATCCGTTGCTTTCCACGCGAAGGGACTCGACTACGCAGGTGAGCTATTGGAGAAGACGTAATTCTTGTCGATTCCACGAGAATGAAGAGAATGTATAGAGCTCGATGAGCAGAAAGAGCTGTGTTGAATGTTCGTGCGGTGTGAATCGCGCGAAGCCATATTCAGCTCTTTCATGCAATTCGATAGATTCCGCCCTTTTCAGGCTTTCCTGAGAATTCTTTAACTTCTCTCGGGAGTGACGTATTGTAACGATCATCGATTTCTTTTCGACAGTGTTACTACAAAGGCAAAGAAGTCTCGCCGAACAAATTGTCAAGACTGACGCGCCAGCAGGCAGCGATAGACGAATCGATGCCGCCCGCAGGACGTCGTGGTAGCCAACCAACCCTGTTACCCGATCCGGACGATGGGGGTAAGTATCGACTGCTGTTACAGCTTATTTTATTTCATGACACGAAATTAGACTAAATTGTCCATTCTAAAGTTGACGGAATTGATGTATCATTTAAACGATAACGTTGAGACTTCAACAATAGAGAAAACACGAGTGAAACGTCAGACGAGGAAATCGTGATTATCTTATTGCCGTGCTCGAAGGTCGAAAAGCACGGAGGGATTCTTTGAGCCCGGACTCCGCTTCCTACCCGCGACGACGCGATTCAAAGAGTCACCTGAGCCCCGATAGGAACGTCGATAAGAGGGATATCAGCCCTATCAGGCAGAGGAAAGCTCGACTGAGGAGGCAGTCCACTTCTATGGCTGGTCGGCCACCGAGGTACCTGCAAATCTATCGATTTTTCAATATGAGACGTGCAAACGCGATGCTTACATTCACCGATCGTCGACTGAGAAGTTGTTATCGGCTTAGCTTCGCAATCACCCTTAATTTAAAAATTGATCTCACGCAGAGTAACAGAAATTCAGATAGAAGAAAGGTTTTTGCGAAGATTTGAGAGGACATTTGTCTCTGAATTTGAAGCTGGATTTGGGGGCGATTCGAGCCTGGTATCGAACTTCGTATTACCGTAGGTCGCCCGACAGTTCCTCCTGTTCGTCCAGGGATCCCAGTCCTTGCGCCCGTGCACCGAGCGGCATCCAGCACGCGCCGATAATACGACGGCAATCCACTACGGAGGAGATCCTGATAGCGCGCGGATTTCGACGGCAGAGCACCACCGAGGAGATGATACGATGCCGTAACTTTCGACGACAGAGTTCTCAAAGCGACGACACGGTGCGTCTCGATGATTCACTTCACAGAGTCATAGTCGTATCTAATTGTTATACATAAACAGACCGTCGAGATTATTTTTTTGAGAAATGAGCAAAATCAGAAAGATCGCCTTGGTCTTTTGCGCTAGCATTTCGATTCCAATAATCGCAATCGAGTCTTTTCGCTCCGTTGATGAAAGAGGAAAGCTATTCTAAAAATTAATTCTTAAAAATTCAAGAAAATTAAATAAATTCAAGTTAATTTCTAGAAACTTCGCTAAGATGTGAATCTTTTCTATTAGCCTCCTTTCCTCATAATGATTTTGTCGATTATTTCAGTCCAAAAATAATTTGGTGTGCCTTTGTTGCACAGGTTCAAAGATACCGCGGTCGAAGGGACAGCTCGGCTCAAATCACGGACGGCACTTTCGCGACGATGACGGTCGAGACGTCCAGCACCTTCTTCGACAGCAGCACCCAGACTGGTGAGTGACTGACTAACTCAGAGACCATCTTTTCGTTAGATTATGGTTATATCTATGCACGTACGCGCATACACGGACGCGTGATCGCGAACATATCGTTTCTGCGATGCCGCGACGAATCCCAGCATATGTCCATTCGCATTTATTTCGATTTTGACAGTAGAGACGGTCTCGCACGTTGACGCACGCCGAGCGCGAGCAATTTGCGACTTTGTGAATTTTCAACTACCCCGTGTGCGTCGCGTTGGAAGTTTTAGTCTCGCGACTAAATTTTCTTTCTCGTCGATTAATGTCTGCAGTGGGAATGATATCAGCGAAAGAACTCGGCCCGCCTCGGCGTTTTCATTCTTATTCACCGAGAACGTCACGAATATTAGTTGCCTTTCGATAATTGTCGAGCGTTGATTATTTCGTCCGGTTTATCGCTGATTCAGAGCGCATCCTTCACGCATCTGCCTTGCCTGAAGCTCGCACGAGATTTCTTTCGCGAATTGAATTTTGCGCCATTCGATGGTTAGAGCCGTGCCCAACGAAGCTGTACGCACACAATCCCATCGATCCGTCGTGTAGGACTACCTGGACGATCCGAAAGAGGAGTTGAACGAAGCGCGAGCGACGGGGGTGATTCCCGTCGTCGTTGCGGACGTAACGTTGCGTTTCTCGCGTAACGCACAACGTTGCGTCGAATTTCGCGACGAATTCGCGCCCTCGCGGTCGCGACATGCGCGATCGGGCGTGGGCGTCGCGGACGGACGGCGTCGCGACGCCCGAGGACGCAGGCGTCGTCGTGGCCGGCTTAGTTCCTACCAAGTGACACCGGGTGCATGGCAGTCGATAGGCTGGAAAATCAACCTTTGTGAGGTACTCCTCGCCTAAGGACGAGGCGTGCGTGTACACACTCGTCGCGGCTCCGCTTCGTGCGCGGGGTGTCCTTCTGATTGTCGGGACGAAGGAAGCTAGCGAGCTCACGAGGACACGTTCTCGCGGCGCTTTCCGCCGAGAGGCGAGGACATCGGAAAGTCCGTCGGCGCGCTTGGAGAACAGTGGTGTTTACCCCGTGGTCCTTGTGGATCGACGATCGAATTCCAACCTTTGCCGAGTGGGAACCTTCGGAGAGAAGCAGAGGACCCCGTCGCCGATCGGACGGCCCACCTGATCCTGCGAGTCGCGCGGCAAATCCTCCAATTCGCCCACACGTTCTCTTAATATCGCCCCCGTCTCTGTCTGTTTACTTGCATCGAAGGATCGATCCTGGGCCGATCAAATGTACAACGAGCTCGTCGGTGGCGTGTCACGCCGTGAAGGGTAGAAGGGTGCGCGCTACTTCCTGCGGAAGAATGACACCGTCGAGTTTGCTCATTAGGGCAATTGTAACGTGCTGATTATATCGTGGGTGCCCCCCCTCTCTCTCTCTCTCTCTCTCTCTCTCTCTCTCTCTCTCTCTTTCTCTCTCTCTCTCTCTCTCTCTATTTCTCTCTCTCTCTCTCTCTCTCTCTCTCTCTCTCTCTCTCTCTCTCTCTCTCCTTTCCTGATCGACATATCAAAGTTCACTGGCGGGCTTGAGACTTCCATGTGAAGAGAACGCGGGCGTTCTCTTGGGGCGGTCGTTCGCTCGCTCGGTCGGTCGCGTACATCCTGCGGCTGTCGTCCTGCCTGGCTGTTCTCGCTCGCTACGTAGGATCAGGTGTCATTTCCGCGGTTGGCAGGACGCAACCACTTGTGGCAGTGGCCGGCGATCGACGCGGATTCGCGGACGTCGAATCCCGATATCGAGCGAGGAGCTCGGAAATCGCGCAAGACGGAGGTACGCGTCGTCAGGGAAACAGGACCTAACTCGTCCTCGTCACGCGCCCTGGAAAGGTCCTCCCGTGACCTTCGAGACGGTGGACGTCCTTGACACGTTATGTCGATCGTTCGATAGCCGTGCGCGCGATCACAGTGTGCCGGTTGTGTGATTCTCCTTGTGTAAATGTTCGCGAGTGATGGCGAGGAGGACTCGTCCTTCCCATCGAGGACTCTGCTGTTTGCCCGTCTGCGCAGCCACGATGCCGGAGACTCTCGCGAATGTGACGATCCACAGGTATGACCCGATCATATGGAAGACGTGGTTCTAAACGTAGATCCCTATCTCGTCGCGCGACTCAGGCGGTGTCTAGCCGCGATTGTTTAGCGAAAACTTTAACGATGCTTCGCGAATTGCGTGACTCGACGCCTGGCCAGGGCGAGTTTTTCACCCTTAGGTGTTTATTGAATGATTGATCTACGGCGTATCCACGGCGTCCACGACTTCCGTCGACAATTTGCCTACGTCGGTGCGTCGTTTTTTTCTCGTGAATCTCTCGCACTTACGTCGTGTTTCGTCGTCGAATTGACTAATTACGTCCAGGTTGCGTGAACGTCCGTCTTTCTTATTGATAATTCACGTATATACGACTTTGTACTCCGCGGAGTGCACTTCCCACGCGGTATCGGTTTTACAACGCGACGTATCGCTGTTGCAATTATTATTGATGTGCAACGGGCGTTCTATCTATGCGCGATATAATACCCCGCGAAACATTTATATTAATTATTCACTTCAAAGTGGTTATTCACTTCAGAGTCTCCTCGTGGACGCCGTTCTTCTCTCGTCTATCTTTCGACATTCAACATTAAGTAGCATTCCACGATAACTAATTTCGGAATTAAAAATTAAGCTTCGCTCGAGCGCTTGGCTCTTGCACAAACAAAATCCTTTTGACGTATATTTTCGATGAATTTTATAACATCAAGCTTGAACAAAGAAGCTTTTTATACAAAGTAACGCGAAGAGTGTTCGTAAAATTTCTGCAAATTTTCCGAAATATTACGGTAACATTGCTGCTAACTGACAGCATTAATTTATTCTTGCATGACTTAAAAGCCAATAAACTAACGTTAAGTAAATGTTACGTATCGTGACAAATGCTAATGAGGAATTGGAGCGCAGCTTATCGCATGTTACATCGTAATTTGTAGCACGACGTGTCGTGTTTCACAATACTCGAGATTAATAAGTCAATATGAATTGTACGTGCTAATTCGTGTTAATTCGTTAGATTAGTCGTCAGTTTAGATTACGGACATCTATGCGACGTGTCTGATTGCATGTCCAAGTGAAAAGTCTCTCTTCTTTTCTTCTTTCTTTCCTACTTGCGATTTAAATGCACACCAAAATGCGACAGTAAGATATATGTATTAGGTGCGCAACTAAGTTCTCGCTGTTTTTTTTTATGAAAATGCAACTTTATTGTGAAAAAATGGTTACAAATGAATCATTCAAAATATTGCCCATCGCTAGCGACAACTTTTTCCCATCTTTCTGGCAGAGCTCGAATACCGTCACGGTAGAAGTGTTCGTCTTTTGAGGCTATCCACGAATCAAGCCATTTTGAGATGTCTTCATATGAGCGGAACTGCTGATTAGCCAGACCATGTGCCATCGAACGGAACAAGTAATAATCGGACGGCGCAATATCTGGGGAATATGGCGGGTGGGGTAGGACTTCCCATTTGAGCGTTTCTAAGTAGGTTTTAACGGGTTTGGCAACGTGAGGCCGAGCGTTGTCATGCTGTAGAATCACATTTTCGTGCCTCTGCTCGTATTGTGGCCGCTTTTCGCGCAGTGCTCGGCTCAATCGCATCAATTGAGTTCGATACCGTTCCCCAGTGATGGTTTCGTTCGGTTTCAACAGCTCATAATAAATAACACCGCCCTGGTCCCACCAAATACACAGCAAAATCTTCGCAGCGTGAATATTCGGCCGAACCGAGGACGTAGAAGCATGACCGGGCAGTCCCCATGATTTTGTTCTCTTTGGGTTGCTGTAATGAATCCATTTTTCATCACCCGTAACGATGCGATGAAGAAAACCCTTCCTTTTTTGCCGCTGGAGCAGTTGTTCACAGGCGAAAAAACGACGCTCAACGTCTCTTGGCTTCAAATCATAAGGAACCCAAGTTCCTTGTTTTTGAATCATTCCCAACGCATGCAATCGCTTGGAAATGGCTTGGCGGGTAATTCCTAATGCTGAAGCAAGCTCTTTTTGCGTTTGGCACGGATCCTCATCGAGCAATGCCTCCAATTCAGCGTCTTCGAAGGTTTTTGGCCTTCCTTCACGCGAACGGTCGTCAACATCGAAATCACCGTCTTTGAAGCGACGGAACCAATCACGGCACGTTGTTTCACTTAGAGCAGCATCTCCGTAAACTTTTTGGAGTTCTCGATGCGCTTCAGCCGCCGTTTTCTTCGAATGAAAGAAGAAAAGCAACACTTCCCGCAAATAACGATTATTTGGCACAAAATAAGACATTTTCACACAACCAAAAGTATATGACGCAAAAACAAAATCACTAATGTGTCAAAGCGGTTTGTTTACCATATGTCTAAGCTTGGTTCATGACGTTTTGGTTATGTCACAATCGCACCAGCACTTACTACTGGAGCCATCTCTTGAAAAACAGCGGGAACTTAGTTGCGCACCTAATAATTTACCGAGAACGTAATACGCTAATGCACATCACAACCGTAGTATCCCCATTTTAGCGCTTCTATAATTAAAATCGCAAGTTACGTAAAGGACGATACTCAACTTTACCCCGTTCTATTTCGTACTACGGTACTTACGAGGTAATCAATTACATTTATACACAACGCTCTCGTCCCTTTCTCTGGATGAACGTCGGGAGTTTTACGGAGCGCGTTTAAAATCGGAGCGATAATTCCGTCGAGCTTACGACCGTTCTTGATAACTTAAGACGCGAGATAATTGTGTCTCTCGACGATATCGTGGGCGAAGGAGAGAGTGAGAGAGGGAGAGAGAGAGAGAGAGAGAGAGAGAGAGAGAGAGAGAGAGAGAGAGAGAGAGAGAGAGAGAGAGAGAGAGAGAGAGAGAGAGAGAGAGAGAGAGAGAGAGAGGAGGGCGATAAATATTTTCATTGCGGTCTTTACGACGAACCATGATCAGTGCGAGCGTGAAGAA